AACAATACAATATGTTTACAAACATAACCCAAAAAAGAGTACTGGAAATTAGAATACATCTTTCATAATTTTTTTTTGAATTCTGTACATTTCAAAAATATTGTTCAGTTTCAGATGTAGGTATTTTATAATTTTTAAAATAAGAAAAGGAGAAATAGCTAATAATAAATCCATATTTACTAAATAAATTTATGCAAAGCAAAAATAATTATTGCTTGTTAACCAAGATAAAAAACCATCAATCTTTCAATATTAAGTTGCAAACATACCAACCTGTAACTATGTAACTATAAGCACCTTATCATGATAATGTGAAAACCTATGGTTTCAATCATTTCGATCAAGATCAAGATACGGCAATATAAATAAATAAATGAAATAGTTGTTTGATACAGGACGAGGGAATGCGGTTACAAGAAGAAAGCACACGTACCCATCTTAGTCAGGATGATTTATGATGCAGAAACGTATTTGACAAGTCATGGAACCCATAATGAAAACATCTCATGGACAGATCGCTAGTCATTTCACCGCCTTCTTCGTGACTTTTGACGCTAAGTTATCCAGCCGTCCAATGATGGATTAAGCTCGGCAAGGATCCAGCTCATGCATATTTATTAACTAAGTCGTGCTTCAATTAGCATATTGTTTTATAATTTCAACCCTTGTTGCAGGAAAGTTAAACTTTGTCCAAACACGCTTTATAAGCGTTTGCGCAAGCTGTAAAAATAATATCTTGAGTGATTAAAATCGTACCACATAAATTCTAATTAAACCAAAATACAGGGTAGCCCAAATACTATAGAAGGCCAAAACATCTAATAACCAACCTAGCAATAACGCATCACCTTGTAATTATACTATTTATAAGGACTCTAAAAAACCAGGTTTTTGATAAAATTATTATTTTTAGGATCTTTGCTACACAATTAAGAAATGAAAGTTTTCGGAAAAAAATAAAAAATTACAGAAATTTGAAACTCTATTCCCATCAAAAGTAAAATATTCAATGCTTTACTTTCTCGCACAGTTATCATGAGGATTTTTTTTACAAATCTGGCAAAAGGATATGTCATTATTATTTTTCTCACGGATTGAACCAGCTGTTTTTTCGCATTCTTAATGAAAAATCATTAATTAATAGCCACGGCCATCTGCCAGTACAATCCGACATTCGTCCGAAAGACGTTCTAACCTTAAAACTAGATTTTAAAGATTTGCATAAAAAAGTGTGGCTTACCATAATACCATTAATTAAAGAATAGAAATCTAACACAACATAATAGTTGTAAAAAACGCCGACATCTGCATTTTAAAATAGTAAACGAACAAATTTACCTATAGTCGTCATGGCGAATGTTTCAAATTGCGTCATCAATGTCTTCTTCTTCTTCCTTGGTGGCTCAACGCCTTAATGGTCTTGGAATCAATGTACCATTTTGACCAGCAACAATTTTTTACCGTCCTTGAGTTTCACGAAGCCATCCACTCACGGACATGTGGAATTTCAAATCTTGAAACATCCACTAAATCGATTGCACAAATCACAAAATTCCTCGCTGAAAGGACAAAGCTTGCGATATTGTCGAGAAATACCGGTATATTTCTATACCGGGAACCCCATTTTATCCTTCCTGGGTCAAAGTCAACTATTTTCAGACTTTTTCATGGAGCGATGAACTACCGATGAAGGATAAAATCGAACTTCGTCATCAATGTCGAATGTCAAAAACCGATTTCTCTTCTTATTCTTCAGGTTTAATGGCCTTTAATATTGTCTATTCTTTTTGTGGTATTTAAATACTGTTTCCACAAATCAAACTTTTTCGGGAATCGAAAAAATTTAATGTTTTTATTTAAAGGGTTTTTCTTGGACTGGTTGTCTGAATTGCATCCAAATATGCCAAACCGCATTTTAATAAATGCAAATGGCACGACACAAACTAAAACAATAATTTCAACACTGAAAAGTAATTCTAACCTTACAGAACACAAAAACAACAAGTTAAACAAAAAATAGAGCAAGTTAACATCCAACAGCATCGCAAAAACAAGAATTTTAGCAGCAGATAATTAAAAAGCACGTTAAAGATTTAAAAACACTCATCAAGTGACGTATTTAAGCCCCGCCCAACATGCGCACCATCCTATCTTAAGGTGTATGTATCAGATACATTGTATCTTGAAAAATACCAGTGTGTTTCTACCCAGGGAGTCCAATTTAGCCTCTCCTGGGTCAAAGTCAGCTATGTTTCACACTTTTTCATCGAGCGATGCACTAGGAAAAACAAAATTGAACTAAACCGATTTCTCGATATACGTTTAAAAACGTGAAATGTTAGGTTAGGTAGTCAGCAGCGTAGCATACATGTCGAGTAAGTAAACTTTGCATTGGTTTTTTTATATATTTTTAGAATTTACCTGTAATAATGTTGTGCAATTGTTAAGAAACAAATTCTCCTAACACAGCACCGTATGCAACTGTCCCCATCACTGTAAACCGTAACCACGTGGGGAAAATTTATTAACAGAAACGATTTAGGTGGGTAGGTAAATATTTATTTATAGAATGAAGGGTGTTCTCAAAATTGTTTATAATTTTATAATGTACACTGTGTATTTTATTGTCAATAAATTAATTATATAAATACTGTCGTCAAAGTCATCATCCTCGTCGACTTTGACGACAGTATTTATATAAATAATTTATTGACAATAAAATACACAGTGTACATTATAAAATTATAAACAATTTTGAGAAAGTAAACCATTAAATTGTATTATAGAGGTAAGAGTTATAGCGACAACAAAGTGCTGGAGATTTGGAACCAGATAGTTAACCTTACTGAGGAGTGGTTCTAGCGGCAAAGAATAATGGACGAAGTTTCGGAACTAATCATACACCTTGCAATACCTTTATAATACAATTTAATGGGAGCAGGGGACCCCCATCCCTTGAAAATGATAAGTTAAACACAAATTGCTGTTTTTTCTAAAATCGAATACTGAAACACTAATTTCATTATAAAAATACCTTATTTGATCCAAAGAGACCTTAAAAATGATAGAAATTTATAAATGCCAATGTCAAGAACAAAAATTAAATGTAAATGAGAAACGCCGCTGAGCACGTCACAAAAACCTAACCTTTCCAATAACAAACTAATGCGGACTCACGTTCGTCTTAGATCCGAGTAATTGTCCCCTTACCTAGCGGTTCCTTGGATTATATACGTAAAAGAAAACAACAATAATTGTAATGTCTGTGCTTGGTTCAGAAATTGATGACGTAATTTGAAACATTCGCCGCGACTATACAAATTCATGTCAACATAATATTATCTATACATAATACATAATATATTACCCGTTTTTGTTTTTTTACCGTTGAGTGAAGACTTTCTCAATGAACGCTATTAATAATGCATTTGTTTTAGGATTTTTACTGAATTAAAATGTTTACCATTTTTTTGTAAATAATTACTAAAATGTGTATTTATTGTATCTAATAGGTACAATTTATATTTACAGGGACTGTAATTTATTACTTAATTCGGATTTCCACTGTATACTTGGAACCGGGTAAAAACTCAACCCAGGATTTCCTCTAAAAAACACAACAAATCGTTCCACGTTTTTTTTTATATTTTCCGGCCTTATTCTCAAAAACATTCCTTTGTAACATACGCGTTTGACAGCTGATTAAAAGCTGTAGTTTTGTTACGATGATATCGGCCACGTGGTGGCGCTACTAGCGATGCTTCTTTAATTGTTATATTTCAGAAATGGTTTTTCCAACACTCCATTTTTTACTGTGTAGGCAAACCACAAGTTGATTGGTTACAATGGGTAAAAATAAAATAATTGGCTCATCCTGTCTATAATAACTTAAATAACGTTGTGAATTAATATATATTACTCAGATGTATTTTGATAGGCTGACTGAAAACAAAATAAAATTTATCATAATTACAATGATTATAGAGTAATTTATGTAAAATGAGTAATAAATAGATTATAATGGAATAAATGTGTTCATTTTTAATACAGGATATAGGTACCCGACATGACCTAATTTTACATCATATTTTTATAAAAATTTTATGTTAGTTGCAACTAGGGCACGGCATGCCCTTCTAGGATGAAATTTTAATTAAATATTATTGTACTGAACGCCTTTCTGCAGAAAGGAACCAACCCACAAAACCAAAAAAATCGAGATATTTAGCCTATGAACTAATTAAGTATGTATAATTTATCTGCAAAATAGGTCATAGCCAAAATGCAAGTGTAGTGAAATCTATTAATCATTGAACCAACCAACATTCAATAATAGTGTGGATTACTAATCCAGAATTAGAATCTGTAGAATATCTGCAAGTGGGTTGGATCTTTTTTGTAAAAAAGCAGGCTGGTAGACCCACTACCAAAGTGTTTAAAGATTTCCTGCTTCTGCAAAATATAAAGTCTTGATGCATTTTTTTGGTAGCTTACAAGATGAGGTGGGGTTGGAAGATGATGTGGACGAATTTCAAATAGAATCAAAATTAATTCATATTACCATTATAATAGTAATATCAGTTGTATTTTGTTTGGAAATAAATAATTGTCGCTTTTCTTTAAATACATACATACATCAGATAGTAGTTTTCATAAATTGCAGAAAGGAACCAACCAACAAAAGCCCATTTTTTTCGTCACCCTTACACATAACATCACAAAATCCACCTGATGAAATTATTAAATTATATCCCTTAAACCTCCGTAAGTCCAAAATCGGCATAAAATTAACAGGTAATTTTAAAATTATTAAAATCTTTGATAGCTTTTTTCTCAGTTTCATCATGGTGTGGGTTGGTCCCATTCTGCAGAAAGCCGTCCAATTGTACTAACATTAAACAGTTTCAACATTGTGAGCAACCATATATAATAAGACATTTCATTTAATTATCATATATTTTTGATAGGTACTTATGTCAAATGACATAATCAAAATTTTCGTTTTCATATTATCTACCATTAAAACTATTTCATGTTAGGAATTTTAGTAAAATTTTTAGTAACCCAAAATGTCCCATGATAATATGCAAGGTACGAGAGAACAGGATGACTTCAAAGCAACTCATTTTACAGGCGCATCTCATTCCTTTTACGAAGGAAGCAAGAAACATCTAACGCGCGAACAAAAAAAGAAACTTCTCCTGGCCGAAATGATAAGAGGTACATTACCAAATAACGTTAATACGATTTTATGAAACTGCACTGTTTTAGATATAGAGTATAAGAAAAAGTATGGAGACATCCTGAACACACCAACGCCGTCAAGCCATTCGAATAGCCATCAAGTTACACCAAAACCTGTAAATAACAACCCACACGGTATGGAAAAATGGTTCAACATCACCATGGACACAAAGGATGAAGGAAAAATTTCACCAAAAGAGTTGCAGCATGCTTTTCACACCATACAGGGAAAACACTATTCAGATAGCGTCTGCAAATTCGTGGTACGACTTTTCGACTTGGACAAACAAGGTGGTCTGGATATCAAGGAATTCGAATCCTTATACTTTCACATCAAACAATGGTTAAGCTCTTTTAACTCATACGACAGAGATCGTTCGGGATATTTAGACGAGACAGAGTTGGATTATGCTTTAAAACACATGGATATTAATTTTTCGCCTGAATTTATACGATACTTAATCACCAGAAATAACCCTAAAGCTAAGAAGATATCTTTGGATCAATATATTATCACCTGCATTCAAATTCAAAGGTATACCGACGAATTTAAAAGCAGAGACACAAATTACAGCGGCCACATTAACATGAAGTATGAAGAATTTCTTGAACTTATTATGAGATGTTTGTAAATTATAGAATCTTGTTTCTTTTTAAATAAAGCTATTGCTTTATCGGTTTTGTTGTCTGTAGAATATACAATAAAATGTATATTTATTATTACTTTATTTGATTGAATAACGCCAAGTAGCATTTTTAGTGGATAAAACGTGTTGGCCACTTATACTTGGAACTGTAAAGTATAATGTCAAAATCTCTACCACGTGGTAAAAACGGTTCTATAACGTGGAAGTGACTAAAATAGAAAACACTTTTTTAGTGTCAGTTGCGTTCCAACAACTTTACTACTCTTTACATTTTATACTAACTTTACTACTCTTTACATTTTATCATCATCTCTTTCCAGCATATTATTTATCTTATTGTCTTTGCTTTCTCTGACTGGATATTAAACTAACACTAAATACTAAAATTATAATATTGTAAGAATACAACTTGCAAATATTAACTAGAATTAAAATAATTCAAAGACATAAAATTAAGACAAATTAAATTTTACTGTCAAACATGGGTTTCATAGATCAAAATATAAGCACGCCCCATAGAAATATGTGGTAACAAAAAATACTATAAAAATCTATAAACTTAGCGGATATGAAAATTATTTATCTAGAGGCCTTAAATAAGTTCTTTATTATTTCTGGTCACCTGAAACCAATATTAACATGTTAAATTTTGTGCGGTACTAACCAGAATTATTTGTTTAAAACTACAGATTTATTTTCCAACAATGGCGATTATTTGTAAACATGTCTGCCTTTAAAGAAGGGAACTTTAAAGCGGTAATCCTATACTAAACGTGAAAATCACTTAAGCATGTAGCAAGAACGTGGCAATCACCACCGCAATTATATATTCAAGTTTTGCCACATTCAAGGTTTCGGAGAAGTTCCGAAAACGTTACCAAAACTGATATAATAATAATAATAATAAAATACTTTATTTTCCTCCCAAGAAACATACAGTTTATAGAGGGACACCTCTAATCATACAATTTAATATATATTTTTTAATTCTTAATACATCTTTTAAATCTAAATTAATTTTATTTTATTAATACATTTTTAATTCTAAATAGGAACATATCATTATAATATAATATCACAGAAAAAAGAACAAATATTACGATATACTTTACTACTACTACCACTTTAAAGTAATACTTAAGTGATTTGGTTGCTACTCTAAAGATTAGACAACTTTAAGGTGGTGGCAAAAGTGGTCATAACGTTTCAGATACCAGACTAATACACCAAAAAGTTATAAAACTATGATTTATATTCTGTTGGTGCAAATCATATGATTACAACTATATAATATGAAGATATTTCAACTGTATCGTGGTGGATTTAGTTATTTTAACGTAATTGCCACTCATTGAAAGGGGCGATATCAGTTTTTCTAACTATAATGCTACTATGTTGTACTAACGCTACTGGTACCAATTTCAATATTTATGTATAAAATGAGAAGCATTCGGTCAAAACCAAATATGTCCACTTCCGGCGGAAATTCAAGTAGAGGAAAGTCGCCTAATTTCAGATACCTTTTCAAAATAATCAAAATTTTTTAGATAAAATAATGCTTTATGTATTGGCTAGTATACAATGCATTTCAAAGAAATTTTAATGTTAAAACATTTTTATTACAAAAAATGAGGTTTTTGTAGTAATTGCAATTTTTCCAAATTTAAAATTGGGCTCCCAATTTCGGACACCCTATCCGAAATTAAAAAAAAACTTTTTTTAGTAACAACATATTTATGAGTCCATGCATAAGTCACATAATATAATAAACATTATATTCCTTAGGCGACTCTAAATGTTGGAATTTGTTTAGTTCATAATTTTGGATTCCTAATTTCGGATAGGGGAAATTGAGAAACGTGAACCATCCGAAATTAGGCAACTTTATACTTTTTGCATTAAGTTTTTTTAATAAAATCATTGAAAAAATTTCGTAGTGTGACAAATACAATGTCTTAAATAAACATTTACCTTGTCCAGGTAAAAAATACAAATTTTTACAACAAATATTTATAAAAAAACACGGCTTAAACTATGACCAAAAAAAAATCTACGAAACGTGGTTCCGATGTTTACCACTGCCATCTAATGGAGAATGATTAGTATCAACTAAATAACACTGAATATGCTTGCTTTTAGGTTGCATTAGAGTCGATTTCCGTTTAATTATTTGCTGGGTTTCAAAGATACACCACCATCCGAAATTAGGCGCCTAGTTGAAATTAGGTTAATAAAAAGTTTTTCCTCTTGCAAACTGAAAAAAAAAATCCAGATTTAAAGGGGTTCCGATTCAGTTTCAGCGGGTGAAAATTCATTGGAATATCCTGGTCTTATTCATGTCGCAGATCAATCATTTTTTTGTGGGCCAGTGTAATTAAACCAAAATAAATATTTATTCTGAAAAAAAAGTCAAAAAATCATTTTTTTTTAATTCGGAGGGTAGAATAGACCAAAACAAATAAGTCTTGGTAGGATCCGTTGAAAAACAAACATGTCCATTCTTAAAAGTTGATTTTTTAAATTCTAAAAGTATTTTGATAACGATTCAATTCTGTCGTGCTAGGGAACCCAAGAGAATATAGAAATACGCTTTAAATTGCAATAATTTAATGTACTTAATTTAAAACCAGTTTTTTCGCTCTCCTTAAAAATATGTTCAGAGGAACATATTTGGTTTTGACCGAACGCTCCTCAAATGTTAAACAGGAAGCTTTAAAAGTTTATTTGTAATGCATATGAATATTTAAATAAGTAATCCCTCTAAATCAGATTATGAAAGTACACCATCCCACCGCATATTATGATGTTATGGTTTTGTATTAACTGCTCTACTACACCTGGCGTATTCCCATCGCTTAGTATCGACATTACTGTATTGGATATTTTTTGTTTTACAAGGCGACAAATATTTCCCTATAGTCTTGAAAAATGTGAGATTATTTATAAACTTATATTTATCCTTAGACCTATAAAACACTGGAAGAGTAATGTGCGTCAAAATCATCGCGTTTCTTGGCTGCAAGAACTTTCTATTTTTTGACAGTGTCGTAGCAGTTTCAAGTAAAATCTAAGAAAATATGTTAACTTAGGTATAAGTTAAAATATTTATGTAATTTGATTGTTATATCTTTATAAAGATTTATAAAATTTAAATTTATAGGTACTTAAAATTATATGTATTATTGACTAATCTAAATTTAATTAAAAGTAAAATAAAAAGATGTCGGCGAAATTGCAAGGCACGCCCATGACTTGTGTACTAACCTATAAAGTGTACGTCTTCATGTCGCATGGACTGTTGCAGTATTATCCACCACAAACAATGCACTTTTTCACCATATCAGTTGTTTTCGCAAAAGACTAAACAAAACATTCAATAAACCTAAAAATACCGACAACAATAAATTGTCAACTGTCAAAACATATAAAACCAAACAATCGTGTTGTTTATGCGTCCACGCGTCCATATGGTCTCACTCAAGGTCACCCGTGACACGTCCTGTGTTTTTATTAATCTTAATTTAATTTTACTAAACAAATTTTTTGATCGGCAGGGTTTTAAAATCTGCGGAAAAATTGGGCCGGCAAAAAAAACGGAAAAACGTAAATTATCAGAAAAATTGACTTTTGCATTAATACGATAAAAATATTATAAACATATTTGTACACTGGTATCAAAAAAAAAGTAAATTACCGTGTCGCAAAAAAACAAACTCAGTGCTGTATTAACATAACTTAACATTTTATTTGACACATCGATTTATAAAATTATCATTTTGTAATTTAACTTTATAAATCATTAATTATTTTGTAAATGGACTAACTTTTGCAAAAAGGACATAACCTACAGTATATTTAACGTTTACTTTTATTAAATTAAATTTAATGTTTGTTTTTTTTCTGTAATACATTTATTATCCTTATAATACATTTATTATCCTTATAAGTAAATATTTTTTTAAATTAAAATAATGTTAAGTTCTTGATTGCTGTGTATATTTTTATTAAAAAATCAATTTTTCCCTAAAAAGACAATTTCTCCAAGGTCTGGTAATTTTTTCGTTTTTTTTTTAACTTAAAAACCTTAGGTATACCGCACATGTAGTATCTTCGCAAATTCTAACGTGCTGACAGCAAGGGAGTATGTAGGTGGCCTATCTATATTTTTTCCCACGCTTGTTTAGTTAACACTGAAAAATCCTATTTTACTACTTATTGGTTAAGTTTATATGACGGAATAAATATTTTATATTTAAAATGTTTTAAATGGAAATTAACTAAAAAATATAGAAGTTTATAAAAATATATAAAATATTTAAATTCATAAGCAGTAGCAATTATTTACTAATTTATCATTTAAAAATTAAAATAAATAAGTAATAAAAATTAATATTAATAATTATAATTAACATTATACGTTGTTTAGTATAAAAAAACTTAGTTATTAAGCATTTAAGTTTAAAAACTCGGCAAGTGAAATTTTTTATTGGTGTGACGTACCTAACGCACCATACATGCCCCCTCCACCCATATCACCACCCCAGTAGCACAAAGATATTGGCCCAATATTCGTAATAATATATTGGGCCAATATATCTTTCGTCAGATTTTTTCTAGAATGGTCCAATATTGAAACCCAACATTGGCCCGAAGTTGTTTGACATTATACAGGGTGTTTCATAATATATGCGCAGGACTTCAGGATGTGATAGCTCATCCAAAAAGATGAAAAAAGTCGCTATTAACTTACCCTCTAAAATGCACAATTTTCGAGATACAGTGTGTTGAAATTTTAGAAAAAAAATCGTTTTTTAAGATTATCTCTGGAACTGTTTATCGTACAAAAAACAGCTTTTGTAAGCATTTTCTACTCATAATAAGCTATGTTTTGTGCAAGAAAAAATTTTTTTTTACTCATAATTGGTGGGGATTTTGAAGGGGTAGCGGGTGTTTTTCTCCTAAACTTCAACGCCCCTGAAAAAAGTACGGTTTTGAGAGGCCCATTCGAACCGCCAATGTTTTCTACAGAA